TCCTGAAGTTTTGGCTACATCACCATTAGACATCTCTGAAAAATGTACAGTATCAATATTAATTTAAAACTTAAAAAGAAGATAATAAATTGTTGTGCTATCAATTGGACACATGTGATTATTACATAGATTCACTTTAATGTTGATAAATAACCCAGAACAACACATTAGTAACTTTTGTGTTTTAAAATGAATAGTTTAAGTTATAATAAAAGGTAATTCAACTGTCTTTTTAAACTTTCACTGCTTCTTGAAACTGATACAGAAATATATTATGAATATCATAATTGATTTTTATCCATTGTTTTGTCTTTCTTTACTGCTATCAATATTAAATCAAGTTAAGTATACTCTCTCCTCTGACACCTCTTGTTTAGTATCATTAAAATCAATAACCTTAATCATACTGTAACGTGTACCGAGCTTAAATACGTATTTATAATCAATATATTATATTAATAATTTTCCTCTAGGTTTCCTTACCTAAATGATTGAAGACCAATGATTTCAAAATGATTGGAATATAAATTAAACAACTTGAATTAAACAAATATTAGATAAACAATACACAATATTGATATATTTGTTTACAATCCCAAATCTTTCCTAGTCTCTATGCCTAGTCTCGAGCCTCTCAAACATATAACCCGTCTCAATGCCTACTTACTATACTATGCTCATATTTACTAAGTTTCTGTTTTATTTATTTCCAAACAATTATCCAACAAATATCCTGCAGCCCGGTTTACTTTCTACTATATAGAAATCTGCAATCCTCTCCGGTAGCGTTGCCCCCTAGAGAACACGGATTACAGACAACATATAGCAGGTATAACTTCAAAGCTCCAAAATTAGATGTTGACAATCTGACTTCCACCAACAAAAACCCAAACTCACATTGAATACCTCTGCTTATATATGCTTTGCACAACAACGCCCTCTTACGGCTATTTATGATTGGCTACTCAACTTACAATGCAATTATACAGAAACGAGCACCTGCTAATAATGTTATATAGATCATATAGTCTGCATTACAAATAATGTCAATCAAAACATTGTAGTAGAAACTATTTATACATTTCATTAAAATTACATAAAAGAAATACTCGCATTATTATTTACAACAGAATAATAGCAAACTAACCTTAAGAATATATAGTCTCCAGTGCAACGTATTGTTTACGTATATTTACCTGCAAATGGCGTTCCTGTACTAAAGGGCCGTAACTCGTCATGATTGTTACATTACCCACGCCTCCGAAGTCATGCGTCTCGCATGTTAAATTATCAACAACTCTACCATTTATGTATTTATTGATGATATGTTAATCATAAAACTAATAGTGACTTTAAAACATAAACAAAACAGAAATGTACAAAAAGTTATGTAACCATCTGCCCCATAAACATTTTAAACTGATTCTTATTTATATTTTTGCCCTACAATATATTATTTCTTATGACTCATTATTCGGGGTATGAAAACCTGCTGACAAATTATGCGATACGTTTCTGCCATAATCAAATTCATTTGTTTCTGTTGACTAATTTTCCTTCATTGGTGTACCTCTTTGTTGTTCCTGTCTATTCATCTGATTTGAATTTCTTTTCTGTAAACTATCATTATGTCTTGTGGTCAATGACGTGTCAAAAGAAGCTGATGACAATGTCATGAAGCTAAATTGATTTTCGAGTCTTTCCATATCAAGTTGTAGTCTGAGACTCTCATTTTCCATCTTCAAAATTCTGTTTTGAATCTCCTTTCTTCATCATCTATCAATGAACGTTGATTTCCCTCGGCCATTTCCTATAGAATTTTTGTTTTGTTTTAAATAACAAATTATACGTACCCTTTAAAATGTACCTCTTCAAATGTGGGCAAACACTGGTGATTGTGTTTAATCTATAAATAATAATAGATCTATCCCACCGTCGCTGCCACCAATTCTGTAACGTGTACCGAGCTTAAATACGTATTTATAATCAATATATTATATTAATAATTTTCCTCTAGGTTTCCTTACCTAAATGATTGAAGACCAATGATTTCAAAATAATTGGAATATAAATTAATCAACTTGAATTAAACATATATTAGATAAACAATACACAATATTGATATATTTGTTTACAATCCCAAATCTTTCCTAGTCTCTATGCCTAGTCTCGATGCCTATGCCTATAACACTATATGCTCGTATTACTATGCCTACTTACTATACTATGCTTATATTTACTAAGTTTCTGTTTTATTTATTTCCAAACAATTATCCAACAAATATCCTGCAGCCCGGTTTACTTTCTACTATATAGAAATCTGCAATCCTCTCCGGTAGCGTTGCCCCCTAGAGAACACAGATTACAGACAACATATAGCAGGTATAACTTCAAAGCTTCAAATTTAGATGTTGACAATCTGACTTCCACCAACACAAACCCAAACTCACCTTGAATACCTCTGCTTATATATGCTTTGCACAACAACGCCCTCTTACGGCTATTTATGATTGGCTAACCAACTTACAATACAATTATACAGAAACGAGCACCTATATAATGTTATATAGATCATATAGTCTGCACTAGTGAGTCTACGAATAATATCAAATAAAACATTGTAGTAGAAACTATTTATACATTTCATTAAAATTACATCAAATGAATACTCGCATTATTACTTACAACAGAATAATAGCAAACTAACCTTAAGAATATATAGTCTCCAGTGCAACGTATTGTTTACGTATATTTACCTGCAAATGGCGTTCCTGTACTAAAGGGCCGTAACTCGTCATGATTGTTACAATACATTTCGCAAGCCCAAAAAATTAAATAATAAAATGATATTAATATTAATAAGAAATGCTGAAATATAATATAAATACCATTCTTTGGCACTTGACTTCCAGAATAATCTTCATTGTATGGCTTGCAGTTGAATGCTGAAGAATACATTTGAGCCATGTCATGACAAAACCAACATAATGGGCTTGCGACCAGCATGGATCCAGACCAGCCTGAGCATCCGCAGTCTGATCAGGATCCATGCCGTTTGCTATTGGTTTCTCTACTTGTTATAGGGTTTGTAAGCAAACAGCATGGATCTTGATCAGACTGCGCAAATGCGCAGGCTGGTCTGGATCCATGCTGGTCGCAAAACCATTATGTTGGTTTTGTCATGACATGGCTCATTTATTTGTACTCATTTTAAAGGGACTTGAAACTGTTCAAGAAAATATCAAATAATAGATTGAAAGCTGAAATACATTTTGACATTATTGAACTAAAAATGGAAAAATTCTTTCCATGATGTTGAATAGTTTGTGAAATCATACATAACAGATTATTTATTTTTTCTTCTTTTATTTACATAACCATACATCCTGTATGTTCATGAGTGCCTACATTTTGTGAACTATGCCTACATGTAGGTGAGTGCAGACATTTTGTTACATATATGTCTAGGCTATTTTAATAAGTTGCATTTTCTCCCATTGGTTATTTATAATTAGGTTTCTATCCATCCAATGTCGAATTTTTAATTTGGTCATATGATACTGCACATACTCTACCTTACATCACATACTTCTATTTATGAATTAATTTTTATTGTTAACTTTTACATTTATTTCATATTGTGATGTCTAATTGTTTATCAATTTATTATAGATTTATTGTTTATAGAATAAATATACAAACATGTACATGTATATGTACATGAAGAATCAAAGTGAGTGTTTATTATAATATTAACCCCATCTAAATTTTTGAATACATGCCTAATTCATTAGTGTTAACACAAAAAAGTACCTGGTATACTTGCTCCATCGCTGAACACAAAGTTTTCGATATCATGGATGGTAATGGTATCTGTGAAGACAAAAAACAACAATCTCACGCTATGATTCATATGAACATTTTATAACTTAGAATACCAGCTTAAAGAAGAAATCAATTGCTTTCCCATTTACAGGTTTTCTACTGAAACTATGTAGGTCATATTTTCATCCAAAAGAGAGGCAACATTTGGGATTTTTGGTCTTAAAGCAGCATGCCTCCAGATTCATGCTAATTTTCATGAAAATTTTGAAAATGTATTTAAAAGTGTATTATTGTGAAGTAAACAAAGACAGTAATTTACACATTTCATACAGAACTTAAAATCCATGTTAATTACCAAAAATATGCATAAATACCTCTTACTGTCTTAGTAACACAGTAGAATTACAGTGATTGATACTGCAAAATCAGTCATCAATCGCTCATAACATGTAACAAAATTAATTAAATATTGAATCTTTTTAATTTTCTTGAGATCTTAATACATTTTTCTAGAGATTAAATTTCTTTTTTCTATTTTGGCACATCTGGAGGTGTGCAGCTTTAAATAGTTCTGTCAAAAATATGTTCTTTTATTTTAACTGAAAACTGAAAATACAAAAAGATGACATCTCATGCACACTGATTAGTCTAAATCTATGTTTTTTTATGGTTTATAGTCTTTATCTTTATAAAATGTTCATAAACATTTTGAACAATGTAAAACTATTTTAGATGAACATGATGAAGGCCACTTCCAGCAGTATTGCTGTTAGGTGGCGCGATACCTCAGTTGGTTAAACCACTAATTATCACTCCTGAGGTCCCGGGTTCGATCCTGGGTTACACCCTTGGGATTTTTCAGAGACAAATTCAGTGTTTCCCACCTACCTAGAGGTGTACTGGTAAGAAATCCAGGTAATCCTCACATGTATCAGTGCTATACACTGGGCATGTAAAAGAACCAAGGGGTCTATTCAATAAGAGCTAGGGACTGGTTCCCGGATTCCCTTGTATCTTATAGCTGTCTCTTTAATCATAAATGTATACAAGGTATACCGGCTTAGAGTGATCAAAAACGATTTTAAAGCAGTATGATGTAGAAAGAAAAAAAAAAAAAAAAAGTTGACCTGGATTCAATGTGCTTGAATATCTGCCTAATAATCAAAATGGACAGGGTTCAAATCAAATCAGTCCTTGTGGATATTTGAAATTCTCAATGATGGTCACAACATTGGTTAAAAATCTAATGTGTAATTTCAACAGCTAGATAAAATCTCTCAACACTGGTGGAATTTAATTTTACCACAATCTCCAATTACAAGTCTGATGCCAACCCCTACACAACTTTCATCCACTCACAGATGGTACTTTTAGGATTGACATGTTGCAGTGTACAGTTATTTACTTATTAAGGCTCCAAGTTGCAAAAAGTCTAATATGAAATTAGGTGCTACCTATGGCGCGGAAAGTCATGTACATTTTCATGTAAATTATGCAGTATCAAAGAAATTATATCTATCTGAATTATATTGATAATATTGACATTAGCTCTGATCAAAATTATCTGTTGAATTGGTTCGTACTGGTGTGCGTACTGGTGTGCTGAACTTCTCATTCTGATCTGAAGAATAATTAAATTAATAATTTACAGTATACAAAAAAATAAAAAAAACATAAAATTGAAATAAAATCAATTTGTTTTTATTGGAATACTGATCAAATTATGTGAATTTATAATACATCAAGTGTTTTTGAAAGAAATCAATTAACAAAATATCTTAAATAATTGATTAAATAATAATATCAGTGTTTCAGATTTTTTTTTAAATATTACCTTTTCCATTGTCTTATTCATTGCTAAAGTCCATCTTCACAGCATAATTTGTTGGCATATTTTGGCATATACAGTACTTAAAATACTGTTGAATGTTGAAAAAATGATAACAATCTGTGATGAAGAAGGGAATTTCGTTGGAATTTTTGTTTCATTTTTAAAATATCCTGGTGTTTAAAGATAATAAACGTTGAAAATTGAATTATAGTTTTTTGTTTAAGAAATGTTTCTGGTGGTTAGAGACTGACATGTCCCACACACTACAGAACATTTATCAACATTAAAAAAAAAACAAAGAAAAGAAAAAAAAAACATGTATATAGAAAACAAATATATATTTTGAATATTTACATTATCTAACACAATGTAATGGTAATAATGAATCTTATTAGCATTGAAAAAATTGTAATGAGAAAATTTCAATTGTCATTTAAATTATAATTTATATATAATTATTAAATAAAGGTGGTATTTAAATATAGCTGGTATTTAATAACGATAGATTTATACTTTTTAATTAAATGTTTCTGTTGGTTAGAGACTGACATGTCCCACACTACAGAACATTTATTAACATTAAAAGACGTTCAGTTATGTAAGCAAATTTAAATTTAAATTTTGATGATTGTACTTAAGATGCATGTATTTAAGTAATGTGTAACAGAAATATTTATTATCGTTTAAAGTCCCAAGACCTTTCAGTATCGGAGTCATTTTCGTAACAATCAGTTAAATCATTTTCTACAGAATGACAAAGAAATGTGAACCATTTTCTCTTTAGATGTTCATCTGCATGAACACCATCATACAAATTTTTATATGATATAACTTTTGTTTTCTTTTTAAATTCACCATTTCTACCTCTCTTTTTAGTTTTACAACACAAAAGGTCTCTGTCCCACCTTACAGAATGACATTTATAAATTCTGTTAAGATCTGAAATGTAGGTATTTATTGCTTCTATTACATTTTCAAGGTATGTTTGTTGTGCTTTTGTTTCAGATGTTTCATGTATGGAATATTTTAGTTTTCCTTTAGAAAGTTTAATTCAGAATATTTGAACAAAGATGCTGTTGGGATATGAGCCATTTTGTATTTGATATTATTGTCATACATTTTTTTATACAAGACAGATATTTCATTTTTAAAAGTCAAGATATCGTGGTCATCTTTTGTATATTAAATTTCAGTTCCAGCTTCATGTGAGATTTTTGTAGTAAAGTCGCAAATGCCTGCAGCAATTACATGTATGCAATTTATTTTTACAATACAATTTCTTTCTCTAATTCTATCAATTTTAGTTTGAACATCATTTGCTAATGTTGAATGTTTTGCACCTGGTATTATTATTGTATGAAGTTCATAAGAACTAAAACGTTGTGAAGAAGAAATAAATTTATCAAGGCCACGCCCTCTTGAGTCAGTTGCAAATATCAGATGATTCATCTGTGAAAAGAACAAACCAGAAAAAGTTGTTCACTGTTTCATGTGAAAAAAACAACATAGTATAAATATATTAAAATGTATTTATATGACAATATTTAAAGAATTCCAAGAACTGTGATCAATTAATGTTAAAAGTATTGATTACAAATGTGAATATTTGATGATAAAATTTAGGTTAATAACCAAAAAAGTAAATATGCAATAAGAATAACATGAGTGTTTGAATTACATATATATACATGTGATTAAGTAATAAAAGCTTGCTAGTAAGAAAAAAATACATTGATAATATTCAAAATGAGCAACATATCGGTGACGGTAGGTGTTTAAGACTTTAAATTCTTTTTATTAGTGTCTGAATAAATAGTTGATATACCGTTTTGTAGCTATTCATGGTGTTTAATTCTAAATCTAGACAGATACTTTTAATCAGTGGTGAAATGTCATGATGGCATTCAATGTCATGGAATATTTTGAAAAGAAACATAGAAATAATAAACATGTCATCAATTAAAAAAATCATTATGACAAAAAATGTTGAGATGAAGATGTAGATGAAATGATGAAAACATGGTTAATGTAGATTTAGAAAAATACATGAATAATGGAATGTATTTGTGAAAGTACATATGCGATTGTAAGTTTATTTTATGTGATATTTATATTTGTGAAAGTGTATCAGTTAGTGGTTGACATAACACCCATCGAAAAATCACTTTTGTTCTGTTATAAGTCCCTTTTAAATTATCTAGTTTTGTCAATATGCTTGTAAGAAACAGTTGTTTAATTGAAAAATAATTGAATGTGATGAATGTGTTGGTGGAGATATAATTGTAAGTTTATTTTATGTGATATTTATATTTGTGAAAGTGTATCAGTTAGTGGTTGACATACCACCCGCCGAAAAATCACTTTTGTTCTGTTATTAGTCCCTTTTAAAATTATTGTTTACAGCCATGGCAACGACATTAACCATTCGTTCAATTGGAACTATTGGTACTATGTTTGGTTCCTGAGTTATGAAGGGAGATCCTGTATATTTATGAAATTTAACCATAATTACGTCTGGCAAATCCATTGAATAAGCCATACTTGACACATAAGTTGCATGTAAGCATAACTTTTGATCCCCTGCATAAATAAAGACAATTCATAAGACCACTTGCTTTATCACATGGTGTTCCTTTTGCATGTGGACCTTTATTTATTGCAAACATTTTAGCAACAGGGGCTTGAATGTTTGCTTTTAAAAGTTGCTGTAGATTGTGTTGTAATTCATCTCCTAGAAAAATTACAACTGGAAGACCTCCCCAAGATAATGATGGATTATTCATTCCAAAGCGACACATAAATTCCATCCATCCTAATGTTGTAGAACCAATAAGTGATCTTTCATCAACAATAATCGCAACTAAACTTTTACAATCCCTTGTATTGTTTCAGCTTTAACTCCATTTGGAGGTCTCATTTCTTTTGTTGCTGCATAACCTGTTGGCACATAAAAAAGCTATGTAAAGTTTAACCTGCTATCAGATTTGCACTGTTTCCAGTTGGACATAAAACTTAAACAGCTTTACTATTGTTAAATAGTGTTTGAATGGCATTTACCATGCATTTTATTAAAAATGATTTACCAGAACCAGCTGTACCTGTAACTATCAGTCTTAAAGGCTGAAGTATTGAAGGATCTTCCTTATATTTAATTAATTTGTCCATGACCAAATTAAAAGTAAATTTTTTTGTTCTTTATTCATGGACTGAAGTTTGATGTCAGTAAAGAGTTGATTGTTATTAGATGGTGTATCTTGTTCAAGAGTTTCCAGAAAATTGAGACCAAATCCCTGTGGATATTCCATAGAAGTACTTCCCCAGTTATAGTCAGGGCCACCATCATCAAAAGTAATATTCTTTGTGCGGTTCTAATAGTTGTGCCCATTCAGGTTGTTCAATTGTGTCACCTCCATCTTGTTGATCATTTTCGTCAATATCATGTTCATCTTCTGAATAATTTGTTTTTGCTCTTTCAATGTACTGCGTTTAATTGTAAACTAAGCAAAGTTATTGATTAAGTTGAATTTATTGTCCTTATATCTGTTACAATATTAGTAAACGGACTATTCAAAAAAGATACTGCGACGACTATTGTTCGCTATTTACATTCATTTAGATATTTGCAGTTTCAATATTTCATCCATGAAAGCAACATTTTCAAGTTTGAATCTTTAGAGTATACTTAAACTTAAACCCTGAAACTACATAGTGCTATAGCCTTAAAGAATTAGGGAGTGTTTTCTGCCCCTAAATTTTATGCCGGGTATTGAGAAGAAGCTCGGCCAGTATACTGGCTTTGATTGAGTGTCGATCATGTTCGAATGTCAGAATCCACTTGCAGTCGTTGCGCACAATCTTCAGTCTCTGCTGTTCTATATACAGTCGTTATTCCGCCGTTTCTAGTTTTGCAGTTTCTATTTTAAGTTTTTCCTTTTTAGTAGAATTCAAGTCAGTTTCAGAGAAATTTCCAGCATTTGCAACATGTCTTGGTTTACGTTTTGTTTCGGACATTTTTCCTGCTTTAACACACTGTTCGTGGAATTCAAATGGTTACATACCTCAATCGTAAATAACTAACGAGTAAGGAACGAACGATTGCTTAAATATCGCTTTCGAGATACCCAAGCTAGACTCTCGTTAACCAACCTTCCGTCAATCGTTAGCACGTTCGTAAATGCAAATATAACGATAGCTTCGATAGACTAACCCAAGGCCCATAAATCTGTGTTGTAGGTTGTGATCAAAACAAGGCGATGATATTTGCATTCCACTTGGTAGTGATAGTTCCAATAAAGTTCTGTTTGATTCCAGACAACAGTTGCAGAGGAATACTGCAAAACTAGGCCATAATCAAGTTGAAGGGTCTGACCGAATCAAATATTCGCATCTTCTTTTTGTATTTATGGTTCCCATGAAGTTTTTGGACATTCAGCCAGTAGTAACAGACAAGCATTGCGGAAACATCATCTTTATTGCTCTTAATACATACTGTATAACTAATCAAGGGACATAACTCTGTAGTGAAGGGTCTGACCACAACGAGGCTACAACATGCGCATCTCCTCTTATTATTGATTTTTCCTATAACGTTTCGTGGAAA